TCAAGTTTGAGTAAGAAATCCTAACCCGATCAATAAAGAAAGAAAAAAAGGGAGATCATGTCAAATGTTCCATTATCTCTTTCAGCCAGGTCAGAAGTTTGATTGTTACGCAATGGGTTGTGTACAAACCAGATATCGCATTATGCATTTTTTGGCGATTGTGATGCCCGATCTTTTCCCTGGTCAAATTCAAACCCAGAAGGGACCACATTGGGAAGCAGTGGAAGATGGATCTTCAGATATCTAAATGAGGGATCTTTCAAACAAGTTATATGTCTTAACTTTTTTGGAGCGTGTGAAAAAGGCCTGCAACTTGTTGGTTACACAAGGCTGCACTTGTTGGTTACACAGATGCAGATATGGCCGGTGATCTTGATGAAAGAAAATCTACATCAGGCTACCTATTTACATTCTCAGGGGGAGCTATTTCATGGCAGTCGAGATTACAAAAATATGTTTCGTTATCAACGATTGAAGCATAGTACGTTGCAGGAACGGAAGCAGGAAATGAAATGCTTTGGTTAAAGCGATTCTTTTAAGAATTGGGTGTGCAGCAGAAAGAATATATAGTTTATTGTGATAGTCAAAGTGCGTTAGACTTGAGCAAAAATATTATGTATCATGCACGAACGCCTGCACGAACGAAACACTTGGATGTAAGATATCATTGCTGTAGACTTGGCCATTGAAGAAAGCATTTCAGTGCGGAAAAATCCAAACAACAGAGCAGAAATGCTGCAGATATATGACAAAGGTCGTTCCGAAGGAGAAATTCGAGCTACGTGTCCCAAGCAGCAAGGATGGAGAGTCCCAACCTATGGCCATGTAGTCGGGAGGGGGAGAATTGTTGTAGGGTCCCTCCAACATGTGGGACCCACACAAGTTTGAAGAAAAGAAAAAAAAAGGAAACAACAATCATGTGTTTTTTATTGTTGGTCAAAAAAAAAAAAAAGCAAGCATGTTTATTTTGTTATTCAAAGGACAGTGCCAAAGAAAGAAAGAAAAAAAAAAGGGAAAAGTGGACACGTGATTAACGCGTCCACCGCGTCTCCTTCTCCTATAAAAAGGAGAAGGTTTTCCTTCATTAAGGCGTACAAAATATAGAAGTAATATACACAATTAGGTGTAGAAAATTTTAGGAAAAGGGTTCTTAAAATTGGGAAAAGAGAGAAAATAGTAAGGATTGTAATTTTGGGGTGTTTTTGGAAAACACTTAGAGTGCCACTATTTTTGTAATCTCTTTTGTACCTACTATTTTTAGTAGAAGAATTATTCAGTAGAAGAATTATTTCGAGTTTTTGTCCCGTGGAACGTAAGCCATGAACAGTTGAGCGGTGAACCACGTAAATTTCTTTCTCGATGTTCTTTTTTTTTTCTTTTATCTGGCATAGGTAATGTATTTAATTTTTTTTCACTGTGGTTATTATTTCCTGGTGATTTTTATTTCTGGTGGATTCGATCGTCAATATCCAATACGAAATTATTGGAGGTATATGTGGTAGTAGTAATTTAATTTTACTTTTACCACCGGTATTTTTCCGCGGGCCTCACTCAAGATAAGTTATAATCCCAACATTAGAAAGTGCTCGATAATGATAAATGATTATTTACTTTAAAAAAAAAAAAGTTGAGCTCATGTGTTTAGTACCTAACTGAATTTTGATTAAAAAGTCCAATATAAATCAATAATGAAATTAATAACATGATATAGGAAAATAGGAAGTTCAAATGGCACTTTATTGTGCTAGGATTGTATTAATTTTTTAAAAAACTTTGACAAGGAAAAAATGGGTATTAAACTTTTAAAATATGATACAATTAAAAAATGATGATGTTTTGATAAATAATAATGATAAATAAATAAATAATAAGGACACATGAAGAGTGTGTCATATGAATGGCGAAATGAGCATTTTATCGCTAAGAAAACTCACTGGGCACAAACAAGACTAATCAAATTTTGTAAACCATCAAATGGACACAGAGCTGAATATCTCATGGATTTAAAAAAAAAAAAAAAAAAACATGGATTTAAAAAAAAAACAAAAAAAAGATTATTAAGTCAAAATTTGACATTAAAATATTTAAGTTAAGAATATTATATCTACATGGATTTAAAAAAAAAAAAAAAAAAGATCATTAAGTCAAAATTTGACATTAAATATTTAAGTTAAGAATATTATACTAAAGAAAATATGATAAGATACGTTTGGAATTACTCTTGTTTAAAATGATCTTAACAAAAAAAAAATAAAAGATTCGTTTTTCATGAAAGATCATTCCTAGATTATAAAAAGTTAAAATTTAAATTTTGATAGTCTCTTCTTCCTTAATTTAATAGAAAAATAAAAAAATATTAGGGAGAAAATCATATGTTTTAATCAACCTCTCTTTGTTCTTTATAATTGTTTTTATTAACTTATGAACCTTGTAGTATCAATGTTAATGAATTTTAGTAGAAAGCAATTTGCTACTAAAAATTTGATATATCATGGATGATTTTTGATTTGGTTTGATTTTTTCGATTCATTAAAAATTCGATCCGGTATATATACAGAGAGAGATGTAAAAAAGTAAAAGAATAGGATAATAATAGTTTATTTTTTACCATTGAAAATTAACAGCAAAAAAGTAATTTTTCGATGGAAGATGATAAATCTATGTACAAAGTAAGAGCCTAATAAGCGATAATAAAGATTATAAAATCTGAAGGACTAACTAGTATTCATCCTTATCGAATATTTTTCTGTTTGTTTACATGTCACAATATGATAACATTGAAGTGTTGAGGTGATCAAAATAAATAATTTTTAAAGTACTGAACTGATAAGAAAATTTGTTTTTAGGTTATTTTTTTAATTAGAAATTATTAAGTTAATGTTAATATTAACATTATTAATTTTTTTTCACTTTTTAATAATTAATAGCATCATTAATATTATTTCAAATAATAAAATTTTTCAATCTCTTTTTTTTTAATTTAATAATATTAAATGTTATTAAATTTTTTACTTGTCATATTGAAGTGCTGAGATAATAAAAAAATAATAATTTTTAAGGTGCTAGTTGGTAAGAAAAATGGTTTTTATGAATATTTTTCAATTTAACATTAATTGAGTTCACAATAATATTAATATCATTAATAATATTGCCATTAATAACAATTTCAAAACCATTTTTCTTCTACCATTAAAAATTTGTGAAATGAATATAAATTGAAGTGAGTTGGCAATGAAAATTGATTTTTGTGTTATTTTTTTAATTTAAATATTAATTAAGTTAACATTAGTATTAATACCATTAATAATAATAATAATAATAATATATTTTTCAACTTTTTTAATAAGTAAATATTTTAATAATATCATTAAATATTATTTCAAATAATAAAATATTTTATCTTTTTTCAATAATTAATGAAATTATTAATATTATTTAATAATTCATTAATAAAAATTTCAAAATATTTTTCTTATGCTATTACAAATTTGTAAAGTGCATATGAAGAGGAAAAAACACTGAAAATTTTAAATCTAAAATTTATATAATGTTATTAATTACAAAAAAAAAAAAACTGAAAAGTTTTTTTAATTAATGCGATAAATTTATTATTGAGGTTGCTGATTATTGAAACAAAAGAAAGCGATGAATTTTTTTATTAATATAATAAACTTATTATGGAATTGTTAATTATCGAATTCAATCAGTACATATAGAGCATTACAATTTATGTTTTAAAACTTTGGATTGTAATGAAAAGAATATAAATATTAAATCCATGTTCTGCTAATTGAATCTCTAAAAATAATATAATAAAATTGCATAATCCACGCAAAGCTGAAATAATTTTCAATATTATTTGGTTTTGCTTCAATTTTGTTATTTTCAATTTTCCCTATTATTGTATTTAGTGTTGTTAACATCATGTCAGATTTGACAAGAAATGATTAACAGGTGACACAATTAGGATTAGCACAGACACAATCCATTTAATAATCATGTCAATTTTTAAACATGAACATTATATAAAAATTATGTAAATGATACAAACACAACGCGGATTATCCGTTTAATTAAATTGATCATATATGAGTTTAAAACACCCAACCAATTTAATTAAATGGATTGTATACAAATCAGAAATCCAACATATGTAAAATGTATAACTCGCTTTATATATTTTCATATATAAAATTAACCTTTTATCTTTAATTAAATGAGTTAAACGGTTACGAAAGTCAATCAGTACATTGATCCGTTTAAACTCGTATTGTAAATGGTCACTCGTTTATGATATTAATGTATTCAGATTCAATTCTAATCCGCTTAATTTTCATATTAGGCAAGTCGCATTCTCGTATTGTATTATAGTTCATTTTAACACCTCTAGTAATCATAATTAAAGAGACATTATGTCTTAATTTATAAAATTAAATTTTTTTCTCCAAAATGTTCTATATATTTTTTAAAAAACATTTATATTGGTCCCCCAAATTTTTTGAAAGTTAGCATTTCTCCCTAAGTTTCATATATATTAGCATTTCTCCCTAAGTTTCCATATATATATATATTAATATATATATATATATATTCAATATATATATTCAACAATATTTATATTCCATATAGGTCCTCCCAATTTTACTTTTTATTCAATAATATCCATAGAGGATGTATTCCAACTCATTTATTCAAATTTGAATTTATTGTCAGATTGTATATGCATCTACTATTAGACTATGTTTTGGTGTGCGAATTAATCAAAATATTTAGGATCAGTAAAAAAAAAAAATATTATCTCTATTATTCATACAGTTTAATGATATAGAATTTTATAGGTTACTTTCTTAAAATTTAGCTAATAATTAATGAATAATGGCTACTAAAACAACTTGCCTAATTCTGTAGGACCAAGATGGGATTCTCATCATCCCACTTCTCGCTAAATCCATAAAAGGTCAACAAAGCGTTTTTAAAAATCAAAATGCGTTTGTGTTTGTACTCATTTCCCGCCTCATCTCTCTCCAACCTAACGGTCTCCATCTTCAAATATCGAAAATTGAAAAACCCTTCCTCATTATTCATTCTTGTCTCTAGATTTTGCGTTTTTATTTCTCAATTCAAAATGAAAGCAAATCGGAGGTCCAAGAAACAAGATACTTCTTCCAAGGTACATTTCCGATCCCCTAGTTGTAACCCTAAAGTTTGCGTTTGGTCTCATACAAAACCGAGGAAAAGTAGAAAAAATTTAGTACTAGCTAATCATTTTCGGTGAAAATTGCAGCTAATTTTGGAAGAGATAATTGGATTGACAACGAAGAATGCCAATGGATTGGCTTCAAATATATCCACAGCAAGCTGTGCTTACTTGGCAGGATGCGTAGTAGTTATTTACAATGTGGATTCTGGTAAACAATCGCACCTCATGGTCTCTCATAGATCACCGAAACCTTTGCGCTGTGTTGCAGTGTCACAGGACGGGCGTTTTGTAGCTGCCGGAGAGGTATTAATTGTTTTTTTACTTATATCGTTTAAAATCACTACTATGGTCACTTTGGATGAAGGTTTACGTACAAAAAGGCACTTTGTTGTTAGATTGAGTTTCGACGCAAAAATAGAAAATGAGTCGTTTCTCGTAATTTTCACTAGGTGGTTCTCTGATACAGAGTTTCAGTTTTAGGCAAAATGTGTCGAGCTGATATCATCGATTTTATAACATAAAATTCATTGTGGTAAGTTAAGGGGCATTTTTATGACTTAGGAAGAAAGTTTACCAACTGAAATGGTTGACAAATCAGATGAGTATTTTCCTGATTAGCCTTTTTTGATATACATGAGTTGAATTCCATAAGAATTTGTGGAATTGGTTTGTAATTTTATATTTTCAATTCTGGTGTGAGCAAAAATGATTCTTTTTCACTCCCAAGTTCCTCGAATTCAAATTTATGAATGTCAACATGCATTCCTCGGAGATATTTAAGGACTTTATCGGGCATGTATTACACATAGGACTTATGGCTGTTGATTGGACTATTGAAAAAAAAAAAAATGAAGCTCTTGAAAACCTTAATTTATGGGGAGATTAGACAACCTCAAATACTACAATGATTTTCAAAAAAAAAAAAAAAAAAAAAACAACCTCAAAGTACTACATGATTTTCAAAAAAAATAAAAAAAAAAATAAAAATCCCTGGTAGTTCATATTTATATAACTTTATGTAAAAAAAAAAAAAAAAAAAAAAAAAATCCTGGTAGTTCATATTATAAATTTATGTAAGTGTACTTCTGAAGAAGTTTCAAAGATCTTAGATGTCCTTTAATACATGTATGTATCTAACATAGTTTTGCAGTCAGGGAATCAACCTGCAGTATTAGTGTGGGACTGTTCAACTCTGACTTTTGTGTCTGAACTGAAGGATCATCTATATGGAGTTGAATGCATTGCTTTCTCACCTGACGGTGAGTTCACATCAATGAATTGAACACTTACTGTTTTCCATTAATGTAGCTTCTTCTTTAAATATTCTTATTTTTGTTCATTTCTTCCGTGTTGTTTTTTAATTTCTTTTCAAGGGGAGCATCTTGTGTCTGTTGGAGGATATATATATCTTTGGAATTGGCGAAGTGGGATGCTGGTCACAAAGCTAAAAGCAAGTTCATCTTGTTCTGCTGTTACCTCCGTGAGCTTCTCAGCAGATGCAAAATTTGTTATTACTGCTGGCAAGAAGCATTTGAAATTTTGGGCAGTTGGATCCTCTCCAGGGTCATGCTTAAACAAAGGGACATTGTCGCTGACAATTCATGGAAAACCTGTTAATCTCGGTCCCCAGAAAGGAAGCTCATTTACATCTGTCGCATCTGCAATATCGGTGACTCTTAATAGTAAACAAGCCATCGATCTGTTTCCTATCTATGCCTTAACTGATGAAGGTTGGATTCTCTTACAATCAGTCTGAGAAGTTCACGTGCATTGGAGTTTTTGAAGAATGTTCCATGACAAAGAGTGCATTTGTATTCTGCTTTATTTACAGGTGTTTTGTGCCTTGTGGATTGTGCTCTGTCAATAAGAAAGTCAGTGGACTTAAAGGTATAGTTAATTATCTTATATAGTTCATGATAGATTTGATGAAGCCAGCTTGTGTATTATTAAAATTGGAAATCATAGTTGAGCTGTAATGGGCTGGTTAACTTGCTGGTCTAGATGCCAAAGGTGACGGCATTGTAAATTTTCCCTGGCAATGCTGAATGTTTATGTCATGATGTGAGGCCTTCTAAATGGTTGTGTTGGGAAGGCATAGTTGGGTGCCTAGATGGAAAAGTTGTGTACACTAGGTCATAAATAACAACGTCATGGACTCAATGCTTGGATTTTGTATGTGAATTGCAATAATAATGGTCATATATATTAATTTTGTTAATTTTACCTCCTTGATTTACGATTTCCCATTTTAAATCTCAGGTTGAAAAAGGCTTTGCATTATCTGCATCTGCTAAGCTCGTTGCTTGTGCATGTTGTAATGGCATTGTACAACTCTTTATGAGTGAGACTCTCAATTATGCTGGAAGTTTGCTATACTCTAGAGCCAAAATTTGCCGGGAGCAAGCTGCTATTGTTTACTCCTCTAGTACCATGGAAAAGGATTTTCAACCTGGTCTTCCTGATGCAGTAGCTTGTCAGTTCTCTACTTCAGAAAAGTTGGGCAAGTATTCAAGTAATTGGTGACTCTGTTAATAATGGGACTCTATCTTTAATTGCAAGTTAACATACTCGATATGTCTGCTTTGCAGTTGTTGTTTATGAAGATCATAGTCTCCACGTATGGGATATTCATGATACAAACAAGGTGATTGCTTTGTTTTAAGTTAGATGATTGATTATTTTGGCCATTTGTTGGAAAAGGTCAAAAATACTCTTCAATAAATATGGTTTTCTTGTTGCTCAAATTCTATTCCCCAAGTTTATTGGAGCATACAAATAGTTGCAGATTATTGCAGCCTAACATTTATATACTTCCAGGCCACTAGGTGCTACGTGCTAGTTTCACATTCTGCTTGCATTTGGGATGTCAAAAATCTTTGTTGTGAAAACATGCATGATCCATCTGTTGCATGTGTTGCTAGAGGTTGTTCTGGTGGAGTTTCCTTTGCAACATGCTCAGCTGATGGCACTATAAGGTTATGGGATCTTGCATTGCAACTTGATCTGGTAGATGACGATTCAGGCCATAATTTTTTGAATACTGAATCAGCTGTCACTGCACATTTAGGTAAGTTCTATTACTGTGAGAAATCTCACACTTTTTGGCCATTCGCTAATATGTACATACAGCAACAACTAAGCTTTGTTCCCAAACCGTATGTACATGTAAATAAATATAAGAATAGTAATAGCCTTTTATGTCAAACATTGTAATAATTTCTTTCTGAAATTCATCTGCACATTTGTGCCTCACCTGCTCATTATCTTTTCCTTCACTCCAGCGAGTTCTGGGGTTTTTGAGCGAGATATCATGGAGGCAAGCACTAGTACTCAAGGATTTCGGTCAATGGCTGCTAGTGCAGATGGAAAGTATCTGGCTGTTGGAGATTGCGAGGGAAACCTTCACATTTATAACCTACACACATCTGATTATACTTGCTTTAAGGTAAAACTTCGAAACTAAATGTAATTTTGAACCTTATCTTGCCGAAACAAAGCAATATAATCTCATAAAGTAATATAAACCTTATTTTTGGATGACTGGACTCTAGAATTAGATGTTGAATTTTTCATAAATAAAACAATGCTTTTTTGGCAGGGTGTACATGACACAGAGATCCTCTCATTGAGCTTCAGCTTGTCTAGTAACAAATGTGATATTTCTGAAGAAGTTGTTGATGATAATTACTTCCTTGCATCAGGAGGGCGGGACCGAATTATCCACCTCTATGACGTCAAAAGGTTTAAAGTTTGCTAGTGTAATGATTTTCTTTGCCAACTCATCTTGTATGTTCATTAGGTTTCCTTTCTTATTAGGAATTTTGATCTCATTGAAAGTATTGATGACCACTCAGCTGCTGTGACTTCTGTAAAGCTCACTTGTCGTGATTGCAAGATTCTCAGTTGCAGTGCTGATAGGTATGCTGCTATAAATTATTTGCATTATGAGCCTCTAGAACTGTTCCCAAAGTGTTCTTTGAGAACATAATGAAATAAAATTAATATTTACTTCTTCTTATTCTTCTTCTCCATTAGATATATGGACAATTCAGTATTATAATTATTATTGAATTGGACTTAGTTATGAATGCGGCAGAACGGGAACAAAGGATTCATCTAGCCAACCCAATTAGGTTGGGAGGAAGGCATGGCTGTAGTTGTTGTAATTATTATTAAATTGCATTTATAAAAATGTGTGTTAGTTTGAATGTTTTTCACTGATCCCAACTAGCTTGGAATTAAGGTTACTTGTTGTTATTGTTGTGGTTCAAATGTATAATGGCCTTCATTTCTCCTTGAGTTTCATTATTTATGAGATAATATCCTATCAGTTTTGCATTCTTTGACATGTTTTCTTTTGTACTTAACCTAGTTTTACTTTCTTATAGGTCTCTGGTGTTCCGTGATGTTTCTATGACAGATAGTGGTCATAAGATTTTGCGTCGTCATCATCAAATAGCATCTCATGGAACTGTCTATGATATGGCTTTAGATCCAACAACGGAGTTTGTTGTCACAGTTGGGCAGGTAATCTGCATCTCAAAAATTAATGGATATAAGCAAATAAATATGATTTTAGTGGGTTGGTGGCAAGGGCTTCCATTTTCCACTTCAAATTCAATTAAACAGAAAGCTTTCCTTTATGGATGACATGCAACCAGACCTCCATTGACGAACTGTCTTATGATATAAGTAGATTCTCAGATTTTTGAATGCCAGGAATCGGAATATTGATGATTTATTTAATCTGCTCATAGGATAAGAAGATCAATGCATTCAACATTGCTTCTGGGAAGCCAATTCGATCATTCAAACAGGATAAAGATTTTGGAGACCCAATAAAGGTGGAATATGTTAATGAACAGTTAGGCAATTCGACATTATCATGTCCTTATGCTGAGGCGTAGTCTTTTTTTTCTTATTTTTCTTTTATTTGACAGGTTACTATGGACCCCAGTGGCAGTTATCTGGTGTGCTCCTACTCTAATAAGTCCATGTGCATGTACGACTCTATCAGTGGAGAAATGGTGGTGCAAGTCATGGGACATGGTGAAGTTATAACTGGTGTCATCTTTTTACCGGACTGCAAGCATGTGATATCTGTGAGTTTATGCTGTGCCTGATTATCATTGTATAAAGGTGGAATATGTTAATGAACAGTTAGGCAATTCGACATTATCATGTCCTTATGCTGAGGCGTAGTCTTTTTTTTCTTATTTTTCTTTTATTTGACAGGTTACTATGGACCCCAGTGGCAGTTATCTGGTGTGCTCCTACTCTAATAAGTCCATGTGCATGTACGACTCTATCAGTGGAGAAATGGTGGTGCAAGTCATGGGACATGGTGAAGTTATAACTGGTGTCATCTTTTTACCGGACTGCAAGCATGTGATATCTGTGAGTTTATGCTGTGCCTGATTATCATTGTTGGTAAATCTATCATGTCTATGAAATTTCTGGATTGTAGACTTCCATTGGTCACAATCCAGTTTTGCCATCCATCAGACTGATATACTCTAAAGGAGCAAAAATGCAGTCTTTACTGACACGCATTAACTTTTTCTGATTTATATAAGATGATCTATCAGATTCTTGAAGCATATAATTAGTCTGTCATATCTTGCTAAGCATTTTGGCTTGTCACCCAGTTACTGAGCTCTTACTCCTAGCACAACAAATACCGGATACTATAGGCATAGGGCCAAATGTTATCTGCTTATGAAGAATCTAAAATGCAGCTGATGTAGGAAAAGAAGTTATCTCAGTGCTTGCACATGGATGGACGGGAAAATTTGAGAATCCTGCTATGCCCAATCTCAAGTCTGAAACTTGCAAACTGTATTTGGCAGCCTAATATCTTATATGATTTCACCAGAAAATGGCTGTCCATAATCACCATGAGTAATGTGATAGGAAAAACCAAGTTTAGGCTTCCCTTTCCTACATTCCAAATGCACTTCTAACTTTGCCTGTACACTCAGGTTGGGGGCGATGGTTGCATATTTGTATGGAAACTGCCTGCTCGTATTTCTTCCAGGATGCTACAGAGAATAAAGGAAAATTCTCGTCCGCTGAGTTCCAAAAACTCGGTCCTAACATCTGCTTTTAATCGAATCATAATTTCTGAAGAGGAAGACCAGCTGTGCAGAATCAATCCTGAAGATGATCTGTTTCCTGAATCAAACCAAGTTGTACAGAACATGCTTGACAAAGTTGGTGGGCCTCGAAGGACACCAACATTTAGATTTAGCATTTCAAGACTTCCCATGTGGGCACAGGCTAAGGTTGCACATTCTGATATTCTATTGAATCCTGATTTCACTTCATCTCAGGTACTCTACTATAGGTCCTGAACATGAAAACACATGTGATTTCCAAGGTTTTTGATTTATTAGTTAAACCAAAATAATGTCCTTTATCTAAAAATCTCATAAAAGATAATAATTTCACTTGAGAATTTCCTCATTGTGTTTTTCAATTCAGCATGTCATTAAGTGGAAAGATTTCCAGTTATATAATATCAATTCAATCAATTTCCCAATTTAGGTTTTAGATTTACTCTAGATGATGATCTTCTATATTTAAGATGTTTGCATAAATATAGACTTGTATAATCATAGAAAATAAATTGATAGTATTAGTAAGGAACTGATTATCTGATAATTGATAATTGTGTGTTAAAGTAACATTTACCTTTGACTCTGGTGATTCATCGACTGTTGTTGGTTCCTCACTCCTAACCTTTTACTTGGACTTATTTTCATTTGACATATCAATTATTCTATCCATGCAAGGCATCCAGAAATACAATTTTCAACCCCTCTTGTTCCTAATAATGTAATAAGTTTCAGAAATCTTTGATATGATGCATCTTTTTTAGTTTGATATGATATGATAACTAGTGCTGTTTACTCCAGCCACAACAACAGTTAGAAGAAAAAAGTCTATCTCCTATGGCTAGTGATGGAAGGGAGTATGGTCCTTTTTACCATGAAGCTCAAACTCCAGTCAGTCTTGATGTGCGAGGCAATGCATCATGCCTGAGTAGCCTGTCCAGAACTTCTCCTGATACTAATAGCAGCCAAATTTCACCAATATCTCAAGAAAACCTCAAGTGAGTGTTCAACAATTTTTTTTATTTATTTATCAAATCTTGTAAATAGTTACTGCTTTGTTTTTCTCCCTACTAACTGCATTGGTTTTGTGTATTAGATATTTTGCCAAGGACAACCACTGGCTTAGCATTTATACTGTATGCCTTGATGTACTCAATTCCCCAGAGACCCATCTTTCAACAAATCTGAAAATGCCGGTCTTATCATCCCATTTGTGTAAGGCTGATATCTATTTCCACACAATAATAGTATGCTCAGTTATTCTTCCATGAAGATAGAATGGAGGATTGGAATGATTAAATTTTTTTCAAATCGAGTTCGTTCTAACTTCTTGTGGAAAATATTTTAATAGAAAAACGAAATATGGATAATCAAGAATGCAGGTTTAAGACCTGTACGTGCTTTATCCATGACCTGGCATGCTTCATGAGTATAACAATCGCACATAACTGTTGTGAGAAATTTTCTGTTTTGGCTCATTAAACGGCTTTTCCCTCGCGAAAGTACCTTGCATGTTCAGGCCCTGGACTGTTTGCCTGTGGCCCGGATAATATCCCTAGTAATGCCCTATGTAGACCAGTGTCTGCTTTTCCCTATGTGTGCTTTACCCTTAAAAAATGCTTTGAAAGGTTGGCTGTAGACCCTGGATATGTAGCCTGATCTTCCTAATACATGACTGGATGTAGAACAGTGCATACCAACACCCTCATGACGATTGGCTATGTCTAACCATGCCTTTGTATCCTACTTGTGGATTGTCAAATTTCAGCAAATGTCATTTCACAATCTATTAGCATAATCTATTCTGGTACTGAAGTATAATATAACCTACAGGATACAGCAAGGGCAGCTATTCATTGCTATTTCTTCATTTTGGCTGAGAACATTGAAACCTGTAGGATGGTGTCACGGGCATTACATAGTTAGCACAAGAATCACAAATTCTACTGTTGCATGATTAGCTGTTCAATTTATAATCCTTTCTTCTTATCCATGTCATTATTCCAGAAGTCATTAGTCCTTCTTCTTATGGCTATATGGTTGCCCGCAGTACAAAACCCAGCCAAATTACCAAGGGATGGAGAGTTCCCTTTAGAGCAAGCTTTCATTGTTAGGAGTGATGGGTACAAAGTTCCAAAAAGATACGCCTGTTCTGGTAGATGTGAAAATCTGGATAATCATGATCATGGATTTGGCTTGCATAATACAAGTACATGCCAGTGCCATAGATTAGTTTCTACTCACATGGCAGAGCAGCTGAGTACGGATAAATCTAGAAGCCAAATGCGAAAGCCTATACGAGGTGATTGCTGCCATTTGAAGTCTGAGGACAACGAGCTTTTCAAGCAAAATTTTGGCAGCTTATCAACAAGCTGCTGCAAGGTCAGTATTCTTTCATGCAATTAACGAACATATTGCAAGTTGTACTCTTTTTGGGGGGGCTGGGTAGGGGTTTCTTCCATCTGTCTCTCTTGGAAGAGGGTACATTGAGGAGGACGCTTAAGCTCAATAAGGGAAGTTTCCATAAAATATTACCGTAATCTTATAGCTAATTTCAAGTTTTGTTCCAGATTTTAAGTGTTGCAATTATGGTGTCAATACAAATGGTATGAATTCAATTGGCAGAATACATTTATACAATTTATGTTCAATTAAAGGAGTTTTGTAAACTATTCCTTCTGTCCATTTTTATCTGTTGGTTAAGGTTTTGCAAAGTGATTAAGGAAGCCATCAAATAGCTAAATTGTAACAAAGTACTTATTAATTTGACTTGCCCTTTATCTCAAAACTCACATAATATTCCAATCTCACAATTCTCTATCTATTAGTCTGCCACAAAAATTAAGAGAGAAATAAGAGGGAGGTGATAAGATAGTTAATGTGTAGAAAGTAGTTGATGTGTTTAAGTACATGTAAGAGTAAAATGGAAAAAAATTAATTAATGCTCTTTAATCTTCTCAATACGACAGACAATTTTGGACAAAACTATTTTTCAAAACCGACAGATAAAAATGGATGGAGTATTATGGTTATTAAGCTATTACAGCTATGTTGTAGCTTTTTTCTGTTTCTAAATTAGATCGAGACCTCTGCGATTAATAACCCTTGATTCCATCAACTTTTTCAGCGTCTTAGAGCCACAGTGTGGAAAGAATTTCAATCCTTATTTCTGGAGAAACAGTATGCCAGAGAGGAAAATTTGAAGGAATTTATTCAGATAGAATCAAATGTCAGACCAAATATAACACATAAATTAGATAAAAAAAAAAAAAAGAAAAGAAAATGTTCAAATGAAACATGAAAATGTAATAATATATGAGTCATACTGATTTCATTGACTCAACTAACAGGTATATGAGGCTTTATCCAATGCCAGTGATTGTTATCATTTAGTATCTTGTTTGCAGGTGGAGAGAAGTAGATCATCAGTGAGAAGAAGGTACTCTGCACGGTACATTTTGCAGCGGGACTATCATGGAGATTGCAAGAGACTATTTGACACACCAGACCGTGAAGGTGGTAAGACCTTGAAATATGGGGGAGAAACTGTGCCCCACAACACCTCAGAGAATCTGGAAGAAGTGCAGCAGGAAAGTTCTTGTAAACAGGTTTGCCTTTCAATGTTGCTCAAACTTTCTTGGTTCATGTCCTTCCTTCTGCTTAAATTTACTGACAGATTTCTTGAAAGATGGAAAACTAGAAAATCTGAAAATAAATAAATAGATAAATATCCTATTTAGCAATTAATTAAGCAACATTTTTTTTCTTGAGGAAAATTATGCATGGGTTTATTTTAGAAACATTTTATTTTTATTTTTCCAGTTGAGCTACTTGATGGCCTTAACCAAGCCTTTAAATTTATGGAAAGCAAGTGATATGGTGCCTTCTTGGCATTGTGATTCAACTGCTTTTGACAAATTGTATTGCAGTATTTGGAACTTCACAAACCATGGTTTACAAAAACAACCAAAAATTTAATTTTTTTTTTTTTTGAAAATTATTTCCAAACTTGATCCTAAATAGAGCCATAATTCTATTAAACTATTTTTCTCAATTCATGTGATATTTATCAAAAAAAAAAAAAAAAAAAAAAAACAAAAAAAAAACAACACATTTTCACTATGCTAAAAAAAAAAAAAAAAAAAAAAACACATTTTCACTATGCTAAGATGTTCTGGTTTCAAATGCTTCATGCAGGGGGTAAAGAGCTCGGTACAAATATCAAATCTTTCTCGATCACAAAATGAATGGACTAAATTCTCCCAAGCAGAAAATTCTTTACACATGAAATTAAGAGAAACAATGGATCAGAAGGAAATTACACAAGAAGAAAGTAATTTTCAGCAAAGAACAATTGCATGCAGGGAAGCATTACTCCATTTGGATGAAGCTGCTAAGAATGTTCTCAATTTATTTGCAGAATTAGGAGCAACTCTGGTCTCTAAAGACGACATTTCAAGTGGACCTGAAGCTGAGTTGTATGATGAAGCAGGAAAATTACTTCCATCAATTGCAGAGAAACTAGATGCAGTTGCAGAATTGGTGCAATGCAGAAACAACTATTCTTGCAGAAGTAGGGCTGAAGTTTCAGGATTCAAACCTCTGTTAGAAACATTTGCAGAGAATCTATCAAAAAGGGTAATGGAGATGGTAGAGAAGAACCTTAACAAGGATTGACTATCTCATTTTCCTGTTTGTAAATATCAGCCTTCTAAATTCTAAACCATTTAATTCTGTTTCTTCCATAATTTTTTTTTTCCTCAGGAAGCAGCAGGATGATTCTGTAAATAAATAATCTTAAATATAAGAATATGGTAAATAATCTTCAGATGTTCCAATTGTTTCATGGACATGAGGAATAGGATTAAATACCTAAAATTCTAAAATAATTAAATGATAATTTTTACCTTTCGCAATGTCTAAATAGATATTTCTCAAAAAAATAATTTGCCAAGTAAATAGAAAATACAATTATTGCAGTAGATCTGGATCCTGGACGAAAAGGATCAACTAGAGAAATGGGTAAAAGTTAGGGTAAATGGTCCAAGCTCATACATCTGAGAGGCCCAGTTGTTAATCCCTATTTAGGGCCCATTAATTGCCTCATTTTTCATAGGGCATTGCTTATCTTTTCCACAAGAGGGAAATAAAATGAATATTATAAAAAGAGAGTTATGAGTCAAAATATGGCAATTTCTCTGGTCTAAGCCAACTATGAACAGGTCTAAATAGTAGGAGTGACACTGAAATGAAGAGGCCAGGTTCCATCTAAAAGGAAAATTCCTATAAAGGAAGAGGAAAATTTATGGGCTTTTCTAGTGTAAACACTAAGCACTCTTCTTTTATTTCATGTACATCCTTTTCCTTTCCCTACAAAACTAATGGACCTCTCTTTCTCTCTACTTTTAACGTATTAATTAAAAAAAGAAAAGGGAAAAAGAGCAAACACTAATCTTTTCTTTTCTTTTCTTTGCTTTTTCCCATCCTCTACTTCATTTTCAGAAACTAATTCTTGCTAGTGATAATTCTTTTGCAATTCTAATATATATAAAAAAAAATGTATAGAGCTTAGTGCCTAAGCTTTCTTTCTTTATTTTTTACTAATTTTGAAGGCATTTGTCAGTGAATGATGAAGCTCTCCTACCACTTATAATTAAACCATAACAAAGATATGGTAGAATATTTGTAAATCCCTAATAAGGTATGCCTAAAAATTTTGGTATTGTATGCATCTACTACACCTTTGTCTTTGCTTTAGTAACATGCCAAACCCTAAATTCTTCTTTCTTGGGATTCCTTCACTCACTCCATATTCTACAAGAATAACTACACTAGGATTTTTTTTTTTTTTTTTTTTTTTTTTTTTTTTTTTTTTTTTGGAGCTACATTCAATGTTAAAGAATTTTCAATTTTTTTTTTTTTTTTTTTTTTTTTTGGAGCTACATTCATTAAAGATGTTTCAACAAAGGAAATTTTAAGGAATTAGAACTCACCTATTATAATATTATACCTAAACCTACCTCATGTGTAAAACCCTAATTGCCAATAAATTACACTAATCATGACCATTTTAGGGTCTTTTGAAGAGGCTTATTATATTAGGATAATAGCCTCTAAGATAAAAAAAAAAAAAAAAAGAAATTAATTGATTAAAACATATGATTAGTTGATAAACAGGAATTTATTAATCCACAAAGAAATTTTTTTCCTTGAATAATTAAGATAATAATTAAAAAAAGGGAAGAAAATAGGAAAAGAAGATTAAGCAATAGGCAGGGCTGGGTCCAAAATGGAGGCTTTATTTAAAGTGAAGTATCATTCTGTTCTATGTATTGTTTTTTGAATTGGGAAAATAAAAAGCCTCTGATTAATACGTGGTGTATGTCTGTGTGGGGCAAAGGACTCAATTAATTAGATTGTCCTTTTGCACTCATCAATCTTTGTAATGATGGACTTGCTTTATTTATTTATTTATTTATTTTTAATTTCATTTTCTAAAAAATGAATATATAACTTTAGATATGAATATGGTTTGAAGCAATTATGCACTATAATTGTTTAGGGTTACAATAAGACAACATTATTGGATATAATGGCTTTGGGCGAAATTTGTGGAATCTATGGGTGCGCATGTTTTTCTTTCCATTATTTTTTTTTACATATTTTATATTTCTTCTTCATCATTTTTATATGTGATCTATTAATTATTATTATTATTTTATTTTATGAGTATTTACAATCTTAAATTAAGATTTTTACGAAATTATTAAGTAGTAATCTTACTTGTCTATCAGCTTAATCAAATTATAACAAATTAACCCCCATGAAAGATGTGATGGATGATGAATTAATGATATCATAGGAATAACAACATAAAAATAAATAATAAGGTTGTATTGTCCCACCGTTCTTTATATATAATTAAGGTTTTGTACCAGTTAATAAATGTACTAATTATACATGTGGGTTTCAAATTAAATTAATAAATCTGAAAAAGGGTAAAAAAAAACTTATTATTTTCTTGTTGTTCTGATAGAGAAAATGACAAAAATATAAAAAAAAAGGAATAGCAGAAAAGCTCATTCTCACTGCATGAAGCTTTTGCAGAGAGAGTAACAAAACACAAAACTATTAATCTGACTACTGAATCTTCAATTGTTCACAGAAGAACACAAAACTAATCTTAAAAAATTGCTTCGCCAAAATCTAGAACTATTCATATCCTAATCTTTCGTTTGCATGCTTCAACAGTATTAATCTTTCCACCTCACCTGCTCATATATCTTGCCAATATATATATAAAGAAAACATATCTGCACTTTTCAGACATATATATGAGCTCTCCAATTGCTTAGGTCCTGCTGTTGCCTGCATGTTGCATCCCTCGTATATATAATATATACAGGAGCCAATGCATGCAAATAAGTATATCTATATACAATTATATTTACATATTCTACTTGAGTAAAAAATACCCATTTGGTAAAAAAAATACCCATTTGAACAGTTGGTCACTCAATCCTTAATCTTTATAATCTTCGTAAGTTCGTGAACACAAATTATGTGCATTTTACCATTTGAGTATACCATTTGTGGAATATTTCTCAGGTGCATTTTACCATAAAGGATGTGGCTTTATTTTCTGAGTGTCAGAAATTAGAGTCACTAGTTATTCCTTACTTCCACTAAAATTTGAATGAATAGAAGTATTAAAAGTATGAATAATGATACAAATTTGACTCATGAAGCTTACTAATAATGTTATGATTCAACACACTAAAATGTGATTGATGGGTCAAGTTGTCTGATGTAAATAACTACGGTGGGGACTATATTATATATTATATATTTATATATGTTGGACCATAATAGTATAAAGACATGAACTAATTAATATCCAAAGAAAAAAAAATATATACACATCATTGGATTTGAAAACGATAGCTATTAGTGGAAACAAAAACTAAAATACTTGGAAAATATGATTTATGGGGCCACTTACCACTTGGAGAGAATATTTGTCGCAAATCTTTTTCTTCCCCACTTATAACTTTTTGCATACAAAAATATCCTCTTTAGATAATATATATATCTATCAATCAAGAAAGCAAAACAAAACCAAACCCTAGAAAGACAAACCCTAGCTACTCAGACTTTATTTATTTATATATAGAACAAATTTTAAACCCTGTGTTTGTATGTCATTAATTATATAAAAATTTGAGAAAAGAAAAGGTAGAGGACACAGCTTCACTTTACGACTCATTTCCATGCACAAATACACTACTATCACTACATATACATTAGTTTAGCTTTCAGTGATAAATATATAAAAATATATAAAGCATGTCCACAACCACCACCACCTCCTCCTCCACCGCCACCACCGCCGCCACCAACCAAACACCATTCCATCAAATCTAATTCTCTTTCACAATATTGATAGATAATATTAAAAACCATTCATGTGAGTATGGAAGAGATTGGTTATGGGACCCCGTGATGTGCAACCGAAAGAGCATGCTGAGGTGGACCCTTTTTCACCCACTTACACATTCAACTATACATATGCACGTTGCTCCTCTCTTCTTCTATTTACTATCACAAATTACTAAATTAGTACCTAAAGATATATCTCGTGACTCACCGGCTCTATATATATATATTAAATTAAAAAAAGCATACAGTGCACGAAGCATCTGATATATATATATATATATGTGTGTGTTTAAGAAATAATTGATACACATAACTACATTTTTGGTATCTTTTACTGTCATTATACCCTTGGAAAAAAGGAATTAATATAATAAAAGAATATTCTTGAATAATTTATTTCACCGGTTCAATGAATTAAGAGTTCTGGCTCGTGAAAAGAAAAGAAAAATCATTAATTTACACACACATGCGCATCTAGAGATCGATCACTAATATGTAAACGCACTGTCCAAAGTTGTTAAGGAGCTGGGCATCTGCATCTTCTGTCATGCTTCCTCTTCTGTTTTAATGATAACCTTCACTGATTAATTACTTTTTACTTAGTTTTCTTTTATCCATTCATTTACTTATTACAGTGTTCATAATCACTTGCAAATCATGAAAAAAAACTTCATTAATGTTGGGTTTGAGTTCATATCTTAAAACTTTTTAATTTAGATTTGTATATTAAATTTATAAAAATTTAGATTTGAACAAAATTAATAAAAAAATTTAATCATATGATAAATTTTAAATAAACACACTTTAGATTATTTTTATTTTAAATTGATAAAATATTTTACATTTACGATTAAATATTTAGTTTTTAAAATTCTATGAGTAGTTATTACTTTCTTATATACTCTCATCTCAACCAATATTTTAACTACATTAAGAATCTCATATCAATTAAATATCAAATCTACAAAGGCATATAAGGATGACAAGTTAGCTAACTAATTGATTAGTATTAACCTTTTAGTGTTGGTTTGGCTCAAGTCCAAATAAATCCACATTGCACATTTTTACCTCATGATTTCTTACCTAATTCACATCTTTCATTCAATTTCTGATAATAAACTATAGTTGTATAATTAATTTTTTTAAAGAATAATTGTATAAATAATTAATAATAATTGATGGCCTAAAAATGATTTTGATGACATTTGACATTTTTATGCTAATAATTTTTCTTTTTTCATCTCAGGACTATTTATTTTTTGTACCTGATATATTATAAGTTTTGGCCGCATGTAAATTTAGTATTTAATATGAGATTGACTTACTTAGAACCAATATATAAGTTCATCCATAGATCATATCAAGATAAAATAATTTTTTATTTAAATGAATGTATTTT